TTCTACAGTAGCCCAGAATGGACAAACCAAACACTAGCTCTAGATAGGGCCATTTGCGTTTTCGCATTTTTGCATCAGCCACCAGAGTTTGTCGCCCCTCTGTGACGAGAACGTCTGGTTTAAATCGCTGGGTCTATTTGTTTTGGAGAACAAGAGGCTTCTGTGGATCATTCGGCTTCCAGTAAAAACCTCTTGAACAATGAACACTTAAGGAATTCTAACCAGGACAAGTTTCAGCTGGTTGCAATCACCAGTCCTCAATGCTAGATGCAACTAAATCCCCCTAAATCTTACACAGTGTTCCTTAAGCAACATTCTATCATCACTCCTCTATATTTCATGTAAAAATATCTGCGGGGAGTGATGAGGTTGGAGTCGAGATGCCAAAATCAAACTATGTTCTGCGTTGAAATAAACATTTCACATGTGAGTTGCCTGATTGAAATATTAAAGGGATATTCACAACAGCCACAGTCTCACAGTATGTAGCGTAATAACTACTAAGAAAAAAATGAAAGTTACGTTAGACAATTGCTTTTCTGTTTTCGCATTTTATTTTATATTGAATACATTTTTTTCTTTGGGTATGAACCCTTTCTGTTTGTCTTCTCTTTGCAGGAATCATTTCCACAGATGAGAGAGCTGAGGCAAAACGCTGATGAAGGACTCCCCAAGCTCGTACAAAAGACTCCTGATGCTCCTGGACAGACTATACCAGAAACAATCATTGCCTCGATGGCTTTCACTGTGAACCAAACCAGTGCAGTGTGTCTCCCGCTGGTCTCTGACAGTCAGAAGCTTATATGGGTGCGCTCGAACGAGTTCGACCTACAGTTGGACGGAGAAGCAGAGCTGAACAAGGCCTTCAACAGGTTCCCATACCTGACACAGGGACAGACAGCAGCACTGGCGCAGCGCTGCGCCCTGCACCCAGACCAGGTGAAGATGTGGTTCATGGTGCAGAGGCTCCGCTATGGCATCAGCTGGGACAATAAAGACATCAGCGATGTTCGGAAGAAGATCAAGTTGAGTCGGGGAATGGAAGAGCTGCAAAACAGGATGAGGGAAGAGGATGAAGGAGAGAGTAAGAAATACAAAAGTGAGGAAAAGGAGTCAGTTGGAAAGAATTTAGAAAAGATTAGGAAGGAACAGAGGGCAGATGAGGAAAGAATGGCGGGAGAAAAAGTGAAGGCTAATAAGCAGTTGGAGAGAAAAATTAAGCAGGAGCAACCGGTGAAGAAAGAGAAGGACAGGGTTGTAGACAAAGACAAAGGGAATACTCAGAGAAGGCGGAAAAGGGTGACAGTGTCAGATAAGAAGGGAATGAAGAGAAAGAAGCAAAGTGAAGAGGCTGCTGTGGAGAGAACAGAAGAGGTAGAAACAAAAAGCGGTGAAGTCGAGAGGGAGAAATCCACTCAGTCTGAGACAACACATTTCCCCAGAAAAAGAAAGAAGGCAAAAGATAAGAAAAGTTTACTGTCCATGCGAGAGTGGCCTGCCCACAAGAGCTGTGTGGTTCCTGATGAGCCGCTGGATCCAAGTCCTTTTCCTGCCCCCCAGTCTCAAACTGTGCCCCCTCTCACAGCACAGCTAAAAAGAGTTGACGCCATTCCCCCGTCCACCTCAGATGATCTTACGACCCCTGTGGAAAGGGGCCTTGAAACACAATTGGAGGCTAGGCTGCAGGGAGACGTGCATGCAGGGTCAACAAACCACAACGGTGTCGTCACTGATTTTAGCAAACTGGAGGGGCTCGTGGCAATGCTCAATATTCCTCGTGTTGCAAACGGGTCACCCAGCGTCACCCAACACCGTGATTATCATGCAGTACAAGCATGCAGGGTTCCCACTGGGGCACGCAGTACAAAGACGTCAGCTCAGGGGGAGATGTTGAAGGCAGCTTTCTTGCACTGCCAGTATCCAGACAACCATGGCTACGACCAACTGGCGATGATGACTGAAATCCCCCGCTACGAACTGGTTCAGTGGTTCGGTGACAGGCGCTATCAGGTCAAGAAAGGAAGACCACGCTGGATGACTCAGGAGCAGCACCGCAAGGTGGTGGCCAACATCAGGTACCAGCAGTACCTGAATGACCTATTGAAGACAAAGCCACGTGCGGCAGGCAGTGACGGCAATGACAAAGCAACCAGGCAGATGTTGCTTGACATGAGTGAAAGCTGTGGCGGTGAGGAAAGTGTGCCAAAGCAGTTAAGTGATTTTTAATTCTTGCGTTGATGTTTTGAACTTTAAGATGTAATTTTTAGAAGAAGTTGCCGAGTTAAGACACGTTCTTGTGAATGAGCTTCTTCTTTTATTCAGAAAGTATTGTTGTTATGCTGTTATTGTGATATTTCTGAACATGACTGTTAACAGGAGAGATAAGAAAGATACTCATTTACAATCTAGATGTCAGTTTTACACTGATGAGTCTCTTCGTGCCACGCAGATGCTTTTAAACATGACTCCTCTTGTGATTACAGTAGTTAGATCCTAACATTAGTGAAAACTTCTTTCTCACTATCGTTATATTCAGTTTTTCAAAAAGGACAGCGGTGTTTAAGACCATAACATCAGTCATAAAAGGTTGTTATCACCTGTTATCTTAGAAAAAGTGCCAACTAGTGTTGTCAATAATATCAAATAATCAATACATATAGATTTGGAATATTTTAAATGGTTTCAATACATATTTCCCGCAGTATTGATGGACCAATACCAGCTGCACTTTCTTACTGTCTCATTAACATCATTCTGTTGTTCTGAGCTACTAACTGAGAAAAGAGCAGTTGTCTATGTCATGTTACAGCCTTGTTATGTTTAACCTGTTTAATAAAAACAATTCATTTTATGCCCTCAGTGTCACTTTTTCCCTATTATCAAAAATGATACTGTTTCAGAGCTTGAAATCCCAGCATCATGACCGCACCACTGCCTACACATAATTCACACAAGATTAACAAAAATAAATTATAATCCTAGAATATTATGTAAAATATATTGCACAAAAAAACCTATAAACTCATGTTTCCTCTGTTGTTACTCGTGACATTTTCTAACACTGAATCGTAAAGCTTGTCTATAACCTGACGTATAATCAAGAAGAATATGGCACACAGTCATACAGTCACCCTGCATGAGACTATCATTGTTAATATTTACAAATACCACCTTAACAGATGGGCATGTTAAAAAGTGGTTTCTTTTACCCCGTGCTAAAAAGGTAAACAGCAGAACAGTTATACAATATAATGGTTATCAAATGAGATGCTCAATAATAGGAATGGATTTAAATGGTCTCAGACTGACCTATCAGTTCCTATTGAAGGGTAATTTTGTTTTTTTTTAACCTGGTATTTTTTGTGTGTCTGAATGAACAACAATTTTAAAAAACTGGTCCAGTATTGAGCGAGAGTGCTGCAGCTGGCAGCGGCAATACAGGCTGCAATGTAACCACTTTGGGCAAATCTGCACTGTCAGTTTACATCCTCTAAAAGTGCTTGTTTTTGCCACTGACAGGCTCACATTGTTAATGTAGGTAGAAGGATCCCTTCAGAGATAGAATTTTTTGTTAAAAAGAAAGATCCTTTTTGTTTGCTATCACCAAACCCACCAGACTCCATTTAAATAAACAGTAATTTTAGTGTGCATAGAGGCAGCATATTTTCACATCTAACTGAGTGAATTAAGGGTTCATTTAAAGCAAACCAGAGTTGGTGATTGTTGGAACAGTGGAAAGAAAAATCAAGACAGTTTTTGTGAGTTTAATTTTGTTGCTGTTGACTTTGAATGACTTGTTTTACAATGATAAAATTACTGTTTATTTAAAGCTATGGTCTACGTTTAGAAAGATTGATCATTATTATTAACATCATTTAGATGGTGGTTATGGCCCAATAGTGCTAGCTACACAATGTGAAGAGTAAAAGGAATCAAAAAAATCCATTCTCTCTGGTGGCTGCAGGCCTGCAAAGAAATTGACCAATCACAGCCATCCGGTCCGCATGGGAGTTACTCCTTGCTCAAATTTGCACTCTCTCTCTCTCTTACCCTCCGTCCAATACCCTCGCTCCATTTTGACACTCCTCTGCTCCGCGTCCCGCCTCGTCCCAACCCTCCGCCGAGTTTCGATATGGAAAATAAAGAGAGCGACAGTAGCAAGCGGCCTCTGCTTGCCCCACCGGCAAAGGCCGAAAGGAAGCGCAAGTCTGCCTCTGAAAAAGCAGAAACGAAGAGGAACTGCGACAAATTGAGGGCTCAAAGCAGAGTAAACATCGGGTCATCCTCCGACCGATGGCAAAATCTCCGGCAAGATCTGGGCCTGAAAAGTGATGCTGATACAGCGGAGTTTTTGTTGAACAGGTAATATTTTGTTTTTATTGCGGATGTTGTGACATAGATAACTGTATGCCAATGCTGGCTTATGACTGTGAAAGCTGCCGTTACTTTTTTGTGTGGTTAGACGGTGCTGAAACATTTTTTGTCTGCAATGTTGTCAACACTTGTTTACATGTTCGACGGAGACGTTAGCCTAATTTTTAGCATTGTAAGCTAAAACTGCTATCATGTTTACACATTGTCACAGCAGCGTGTTTCGTTAGGAGGCTCCGAGGGGAGGGGGACACGAGCTCGGAGGGGAGGGATCATGGAGCACAGAGGGAGGGGGGTGTGTGTCGGGGGGAATGCTTTTTTCAAATCTTTCTCATCGTCTTTCTAAACGTAGACCATAGCTTTAAATGGAGTCTGGTGGGTATGGCGATACTGATTTTGGGGTTGTTTCTGGTTAAACAAAAAGGATCTTACTCTTTAACAAAAAGGTCTATCTCTGTAGGGATCCTTTCCATAATGTTGTCGGACACTTACAATAACAATCTGAGCCTGTCAGTGGCAAAAAAAGCACTTTTAGTGGATGTAAACTGACAGTACACAGTTTCCCATTACTATTGCATTGCAGCCTGACCAATTTCACGACTTGTCTCCATTAGTCACTTAGACACAAACAAACCATAGTAACCCTTTAAGTCGACAATGATTTCAGATGTTACAGCTGAACAGTTTTCTCTTGGCCCCTTCAGTTCCAGTTGGCTGTGTACTCTGCCCTCTGTGGCTGCCAAAGGTCAGCGCCTTCGATGATGCGGCGGATCATGGAGGCGGACGTGATAAGCAGGTGTCCAACAGCATTTAGGAGGGAGGAGGCTACACGCAGGGCTTCTCTGAAAAACGAGAAAGTGTGATCAGTATGATTTTGTGTGCAGCCGACTCAAGTCACATTTAATTTCAGATGGTCAATCGGATAGTTCATAGTTTTAAAGTGGGATTGTATTAGATACAATAGATGTCTGTCAGTGGAGAAGCAGGAAGGCATATCGACACAGAAGCAAAGCACTATACTGGTAGTGTGCACTATATTGAAAGTATTTTCACCGCTTTACCATTCAGTCAGGCAGCCTTTCCAGTTGGAAATCTGTTAATGACTTAAGTGTCCCATCTGTTCTCGTCAAGCCACCAGACTCCATTGACAAAAACAGTAATTTTGGCTTGCTGAATGCAGGAGCTGCTGGTCTACCACTGCCTTGATCAGTGATTTTGTTTGCTTTACTGTGTGACTTCATTTAATCCGAACTCACCATTTTAAACGCCAAAGTCACAATAATAAAGAGAACAATTATATTAATGGAGGTGGCGGTAGACCAGCAGCTCCAGTGTTCATCAATATTAAATTAGGTTTTTCTCAATGGAGTCTGGCTTGAAGAGAGAAATGCAACGGCTTAAGTTCCCCATCAGAAATCGCTGTATGACTAAGTGGTGACAATATTCTAAATATAGCGCACACTTAAACTGATACTGATTTTTGTAGGTGGCTAAAATACATTTTGTTGCTGCCCCCATCCATAGTAGTACATTGCGTAGCTTCCAAGTCCTGTCTGCTAATTTTTGTTATGACCTCCTCCCCTGAGCTTACCTGAGGACTTTCTTGGGCCCCAGACACTGGAAGTTGGCGCTCACAGAGTACAGGCCTTGAAATGTAGCCTTCACACTCAGGGAACCAAACACATCCTTTGGGTTCATCCTGTAGAGGTCAAAGGTGACACGAGCGATGTCTTTCCCGGTCCGAGGCTTGTCGTGGTCTTTAGATTTGAACACAACTGCACCCTGAGGGATCGGAGACATCAGTCACATATATTACATACAATCACATGGGGCTATGTAGCGATACTTCTTTGGTCAGACATACCGCCTGAGGTCTCCATGTTTGTCCAGGCTCCAGGGCCATGAGCATGGTGTTGTCAGGCAGGGTCATGAGGAACTCGTTGGAGTCTACCTCTGTACCGTCCTCCTCACAGACCAGAGACAGAGACAAGGCAGACAGGGACAGCAGCAAGGCCTGGCATACCTATGGCACAGATTCAAGTTGGCTCTGGATTAATTCATGTGTGCTAGAGCAGAGGTTTTTCATCTTTTATCAGACAAGGACCCCTTACAAGATAAAGTATGTACCAGTACCCGATTAGGTCTCATCAGCTTGGTAAGTCCAAACATAACAGGTAGGCCAACATACCTTTTGGGAGTTTATTTTCCATGTGTAGGTACTCCTTTACCATCATCATGGCTTTCTCCGTTGATGGATACTGCTCTAACGTGTCGCCGCATTTGCTTTGTAATGATTCCCACTGCCGCCTTGACTGCCTTATATTCATGATACTTTGAGTAACAGTTCTTTGTCGGTCAAAGCAAAGAAATCAACATCAAGGCTCTAACAAGGCAGCTGTCTCCCTTTATTAGCAAGTTTCATTTATTTCATAATACTGTTATTTTCTTACTTTAATTTTATCCATTTCATTTTATTTTTTATTTAATTTTTAGTACTTTATTTTCATATGTATTTATTTATTTAACATTTTTTCCTTCTCATTTTTTGTTACGCTACAACAAGCAGCTTTACCCCGATCAGAACCTTTTCCATTATTTCTTTGCATTATATATCTATTACAGTCTCACCCTCTCTTTCAGCTCCTCCAGGGTCCCTGCTGTGATACCCTTCCTGGTCTCCCTGTTTTGACAACACACTCTGAAGGGACGTTGCAGTGGAGACCACACTCGCTTGGTCACAGATCTGAGGAAGACCAGACAGAAAGGTTATTAAGTTGCTCAATGTGTTGGATGGTGTGTTTTGGAGATTTTCACAGCAGACATTTTATCTCACACACAATAATAAGATCCCCAAATGGAAGCAATTAAATTGAATTAATCACTCATTAATTTAATTATTTACACGTTTTTCCCGCTGTGACATGTCAAAATGTCTTCTGTTAAAAAGGACCCACCTGAGCCATGATAAATGACCAATACTTATCACAATAAAATAATAAAAATGTCAAATTTCATAATATGAAATAGCTTAAAATGACATGTCCATTGAGTAAATTTCGGGGGCTTCAAAAGCCACACAGTGTTGTTGGATTGTTGATCAAGTGAAGGGATCATGAAGCAAATCAATACAATATCAACCGGCCAAAAATACTTCTTCACTTACTTGATAAATGAAGACGTTGTATCCATGTTCGTCGTTCTCTTGTTGTCTCTTCTCACAGCCTTGTTTTTTTCAGAAGGTGTTTTGTTGTAACAAATAGTGATAATGTTAGTGCGGCTTGTATCTGACCCAGCAGCTGGACTTTACCCCGAACCTGGTGATAACTCAGATACAGAACAGTACATGGCAAAGGTCATCTCGCCTGTGTGTGTCAGTGTGTGTGTGTGTGTGTGTGTGTGTGTGTGTGAGACCTCCTTGCTGACAAGCAGTGTTATTATCTATATAGCCCGACTGATAATGGATGTGTAAGTTCAGTACTGATCTTGTGACCTGACAGTTTTAAAAATCTGTTTTTATGAACATAAAACAAAAAATAAGCAGTTTCCATAAGAATCCTTTATATTTGTTTTTTAATTAGTCACTGCAGTTTGTGGTTACTTATCGGCTGACATAGACATCCACACTTATAAAGCTGCAATGTCAGCTGATATATTGGCCCAGCCCATTTATCTGGCTCTGTACTTTTAAGGGACATATTACAATAACATTAATATTTTACTATATGAAAGATATTTTAGTCCCATTGTAGGGATATAAACTCAGATTGATACCTGTACCAATGGATGGACTACTGAATGGGCCTACTGGGCACATGCCGAGGGGCCCAATGTACCGACCCAGTAAGGGACATTAAATGAGGTCAAAGAGACACAAAATGATTACAAGGAGACACAAAATGACCAAAAAGACACCAAATGACTACAAGGAGACACAAAATGACCACAAAGAGACACAAAGTAACCACAAAAGGACCAAAACAACCAAAAGGTGACACAAAATAGCTACAAACGAGGCAAAACAACCAAAAAAGAGATACCAAATGACTACAAGGAGACACAAAACAACCAAGAAGACACTAATGGCCTCAAAGACACAAAATAACTACAAAAGGGGCAAAACTAGAAAGTGACAGGGAAAGTTAAAACAAAAGATACAACATTACATTAAAAAACACACAAAATTACCTCAGTCACTGAACAACAAGGAAACACAATAACTACACACGAACCAAAACATCAAAAGAGACACAAAATGTCTCCAAAGAGACACAAAATGTCTCAGAAGAGACACAAAATGACCAAAAAGACACAAAATGCCTACAAAAGACACAAAGGCGCCTTAAAACCCCATAAAGTTATCTCAAAGAGTCACAAAATTGAGACAAAGAGATACAAAATAACTACACATGGGAAAAAAAAACAACCAAAAAAGAGACACAAAATAACTAAACGAGGCAAAACAACAAAAAAGAGACACAAAACGACCAAAAAGACACTAAATGTTCTAAAGGAGACACAAAATATCTACAAAAGGGGAAATAAACCAAAAAGAGATACTTAGTGGAAACAAAAGACATAAAGTTACCTTGAAAACCCACAAAGGAGACACAAAGTAACTACAAATGAGGCAAAACATCAAAAAGAGACACAAAATGACTACAAGAAGAAACAAACCAACTTAAAAAGATACTAAATTATCTCAAAAGAGACACAAAATGACTACAAGAAGAAACAAAACAACTAAAAAAGACACTAAATGACCTCAAAGGAGACACAAAATGACTACAAGAAGAAACAAAACAACGAAAAAAGACTCTAAATGACCTCAAAGGAGACATAAAATGACTACAGAGACACAAAACAACCAAAAAAGACACAAAATGACCTCAAAGGAGACACAAAATGACTACAAAGACACACAAAACAACCAAAAAAAGATAAAAATGGTCTTAAAGGGACACAAAATGCGTGCCTTTAAAGTATCTCAAAGAGTCACAAAATGAAGACAGTGGGATACAAAATAACTACATATGGGGCAAAACAACAAAAAAGAGACACAAAATGACTAGAGACACAAAACAACCAAGAAGACACTCAATGATGTCAAAGAGACACAAAATAACTGCAAGAAGGGGCAAAATAACAAAAGAAGACACCAAATGTAGATCCAAAATAACTACACATGGGGCAAAATAACCAAAAAAGAGACACAAAATGATGACAAGGAGACACAAAATGATCATGACTTTTTTTTTTTTTTTTTTTTTTTAAAAAGGGCAAAACCACAACAAAGTCGATTATCTCATAATCCGCCCATGCCTGTCATGGTTCGTATAACCATTTTCTTGTTTTTTTGCCTTTTATTTGAGCCATTATCTTATTTGTGTTATGTTCCTTAATATTATGCTACTTCTAAATTACACTTTTAAGCGGTAAATAAATAGTAATGATTACCTTTTATAATCTTACACTCCCATGTATTAAAACTTTGATGTTGCATCGTTACAATAGAAAATAAAAAAAAGTTTTGTACATGAGAAATAACTTAATAACAAAAAAACGGCTGTCGGATCCGCTAAAATACGTCATATCCTGTAAACAACACCGGGTGCGCTTGTTTTAAATACGAGGGTGCGCGTGGACGGAGTTTGCCGTTCGAACCGTTGTATTTTATTCCCAATGCGCGAGGCACCGCCCACTCGGCACAGCCGCGTGAAGACATGAGAAGAGTTATATAGTTGCAGTGAAGGCGGGAGGATGAGAAGCAGAAGTTTTGATAGAAGTGGTGCTAGCTTTGTTTCGAGCGGGTTATCAGTCACTGTGATACTGAAGTGAACCACAGAGAGCTCCAGGCGTCGACCGAATTAGTCAACATTACCTCAACAGTAACTCCTAAACTACTTTATAGGGTAAACTGTTAGCTCCGCGGCGGTTTAGAAGTAATGTGTGTACGTTGCTAAGCTAACGTCAACTTGTTAACCTCCTTAGCCGTTAGCTGACTGTCTGATCGAGTGGTATGGCTACAAGAAAGCCTAAGGAAAATGGTAAGTGTTAACATAGTTTACGTTGAGTAAGGTTGTGGCTGACAAGTAAATGTGTTCATCAGTCAGTGAATTTGACAGCTGTTGGGAGACTCCTACATTAGCATTACTGACTGGGTTGTAGCCAGCAGTGCAACATCGACAGCATCAATCCATGGAGACAAGTGAAGCAGAATTTTCCAGCCCTGTATTAGTTGCCATAAGTGAATGACAGTTATCTCCTCCGCTGTCTCCTGCACAGATGCCAGCCTCCCCTTTGCTGCCCTGCAGCTCCTGGCCCCGCCTGTGCGTCTGGTATCTGCAGCCCTCTGGAAAGTGATGAAGCAGAGGGATGTGATGCAGTATGGGGCTGTGGAGGAGTTTGTGACATCGGCCTGTGAGACTGTCCCTGGGCTGCTCACCGTGAGACACCAGGGCAAGCTGGCGCTGGGGCTGAGAGGACGGGTATGTATGCTTTTCATTTCTTCTAGACTGTTATTGTAAGGCAGCAATACTTGTGCAGCTCCTGAGTCCAAGACAAATTCCCCCATGAAGTATATCGTCTCGTATCAGAATTATATTTCTGCTTAACTGCATTGTTCATCATTCTCTACCTTCTTTTCAGTTTATCTTGGAGCTGTGCCGCACACAATCGGATAAAAAGGTGATCGTGCCACACCTGGAAAGGATCCGTACCCCTGCTGCCCTGTCAACCTCCTCTGCTCCTATGGGGGTAAATTATCTTTGATGTTTAGATTCTCACATGTTGCATTTCCATTTTTGTCACTGTAAATAGTTTGTAGGCTTTTATTCCAAATAATAACTCCATACTCTCTATGATTCACAGCACATTGCTACAAAAAGACAGACACTCATGTACGAAAAAAAGTAATGTTTGCTTTTTTGTCTCCTAGAAGAGGGATGTAAAAATCACAAGAACAGTCGAAAGTTTCCATTCATTGGTTCACACACTGCTAAAAGACCCAGCAGGGCGAGAACAATTCTTCAAGGTGAGTCTCCCTACTTGTGTTTATTTGGATCTCACAGCAGCAGCAACTCATATGTGATTATCTCTCAGTCAATGTAGAAAGGAAAGTAACAGCCAACTCTGTTCTGACAGGAGGAGTTTCCCGTGGATTACGGTCCAAAGTTTGACCAGGAACTGGAGAAGCTGCTGTGGGAGTTCTTGATCCGAGTGGACCAGTTGCTCCCGGTTCCCAACCTAGCTCAGGTAGTGTCAGTCAACCCAGTCCAGACTACATTTCATACAGTTTTATTAGTCGTAAGCTTTAGTCTGCATGAACACATTTACAATACTAACATGATAGCAGTATTTAGAAGGCTAAAACAGAATGGGGGATTATTTTAGTGTGTCTGAAATCAATAGCACATTAATTGCATACTATTTCCTGTTAATATTACAGTATGAAAACACTGAACACTACATAGTCATTAATGTTCCATAACGCAATGCAACATTTATGAAGGACAGCGACCAAGACCGCTTCAATTCAAGCTTTGCGAGGCATAATATAGTTCATGAAGTATTCTTAAATTGCTGGTACAGATGAGTTTGGCACAGGTTACCATGGTTACGTAGCTCCAACTGACAATTAGGCTCTATGGAAGAGTTATTACAACTCAGTGAGTCTGAAAAGATATTACTCTTATTCACAAAGAGACCCATGTCGAATGTTGCTGTTGTTAAATTTGAAAAGGTCAATATTGTAATAATTTGTCTGCAGACTGTGTCGTGGCTCAGTGATGCCCCCCCTGTCCTGGAGGAGTGTGCGCGGGCAGCCACCCAGCCACAGCTCCTTAAGATACTGCTTCAACATCAAACCTGTCTGGGTCATCTGGAGAGTGCAGGTACAACTACACACCTTCTTAGCGTCTTTGCGAGGATGACTGTAACAGTGAAGCCTTTTATGTAGATTCTGAATAATTCTCATCATCCATGTTTGTTTGTTACAGCATCCCTGCCTCCAAACTTGGGAGACTCCATCCTGGCTTCACTTTCTCTCCCACCCTCTGGAAAAGTACCTTCAGATCAACCAACAGAAGCCACAAAGTTCGCTGTGGATCAGTCTGATGTCACAATGACAAGAGACAAACCACAATTTGTTACACCCGTTATCGGACTAATATCAAATGAAGACGTTCCCGTTATGATCAGGACATCAAGAGACAATGAGCCAGCCAGCTCAAAAGATGCAACAGCCTCAGACCCAAAAGATAAGTTGAAATTCACTGTGATTAAAACGAGACAAAAACCCAAAGAGGGTGAAGAAGACATGGAGGAGGAGGGGAACGCCTTACAAAGAAAAAGTGGACTGAAACGCAAGCAGCCTGACAAACAGAGTGAATCCGAGGAGGAGGAGGAAGTGTTGCGCATGATCAGAACTGGGGAATCGAGGATAAGCGGGCGTTTGAGAAGAAGAGATAACCAGAGGACAAATGAGAGCAAAGAAGACGAAGCTGTTAGAGACGAGGAGCAAAAAAGAGCAGCTCTAGAAACCTGCATGTCCCAGCTGGGTGTCAAAGCACTGCACCTGCCTGAAGATCCGTCCCTCCGCTCCATTTTTGCATCTTGTCTGATCCACCAACCCAGAGTTGTCATTGACAAACTGTCAGTGACTCCTCCTAACGCTAACAGGACTGATAGAGGAGGTAAATCCATAAACGTGACCCGGCAGAATCAGAGGAGGAACTTGCCCGTCAAAGCTCCAACAAATCAACGTCGAAAGCCTGACTTGGATTATCCTGGCTTGGACGATAAAGAGTAAGAGACGGGAATGAAATGCACGTGTAAAGTAGCAAAGTAGGTCTTAGCATCATGTCAAGTCTGTATCGCAATAATTCAGGAGCTAGCTTAAAAGAAAACTGCTGTGATGTGTTTTGGATTTTGTTCAGAAGCTTTTCCTAGCTGCCTGGGATTCCCGTAGTGTACATTTTGAGTTCTAAAACACACCGATGATCCCACAGTGCCAGACACTTTAAGTTGACCTTGCAGAAACACATTGAGACAAGATTTTACTGCTGTATAAATTAAATAGTTTACGTTTATTCTAACAATGGAGCCCAGGGATACTCAACTTATTTATAATCAGCCTGGACCTCTGTCAATGTGCCCCGGGATCCTCTCTTGGCTCTTTTTAGTTTTTTAAACAGGTTCTATTTTGATGTTTTTATTGCACTTTGGCACCTTATAGATATTAAAAGCATCCGCCAAAAAAATCCCAGTGTGAATTAATTTATTTTCATCGTAAATTAGAAAATGGTCCGCAGGTTTTAAGTTGACTATTACTCATGTACAAATACAATAAAATACAAATACAATGAAATAATTTAGTTAAATGTTTCTGGTATTATTTGGTCTTTCTACCTCTGTATGTGCTCTTTTGGAATTGCAGGTCCTATAAAAAGAAACTTAAGAGATTTAACTGCATTTTAATATTTCCTGGCTGTGTTTAGAGCTACATTAGAAACGCCCCTGTCAAAGCAGATCAGTAAGCAGCTCATTTACCACCATTCACTGTGGCTCAGGAGGTAGAGCAGGTTGTCCTCCTGTCCATATGTCTGACACTGAACCACGAGTTGGTCTTGAGGAGTAGGCCAGTGTCTCGCATGGCATCAGTGTATGAATGTGTGTTAATGAGAGGCGAATTTTACCAAAGAAAGATGCTATATTAATGCAGTCCATTTACTATTAAGAAGTTAACTGACATAAGTGTTGTTTCTATTTGACAGAAATCATCCTGTCCCACCGGGTATAAGTAGCTTTCCCTCTCAGCAGCGAAGTAACACAGGTGATTTAACAAATTGTTTCCAGGGAATTAAAAGAATAAAAGTACTGTAACAATAAAACTCACCTGCACAAGTTTCGGTTTGACTATTTCCTTTTGTGTTTAGAGACGTCATCCCTTACAGGAGACAGCGAAGACTACGTAGCTGATTCTGAGGACGAAGCGACAAAGAACTTCAAAGGCAGGGTATGTATTCTCCAAACATGGGAAATGGGGTATTTATGGGCAGTGAAGATCTTTAAAGGGGGGGGTGTGCCTTAAATGTTTTTAGTCTTCTAGGTACTCTATTTATCTAGTGTTTCAAAGTGGTATAGTTGTCGCTGTTGTCGCAAAGACAACCGGATCAATTTCTGTTTTCCTCAGAGCTGAGCACAGTTAGACGGGTTCTACTGTCCGCCATTTCTGCTTCTCGAGATAGTAGCTGCCAGTGTTGTAGTCAGAACCACTATAGCCAAGACCAAACTGTGTTGAGACCGAGACAAGATCAAGACTTTGAGAAGTTGAGAGTGGGTTGAACAGAAAATGTACCCATATACTCTCCTACATTCCTCTGGGTGCTCTCGGTGTCACCTGTAAGGGGGTGATCACAGAAATGAGACGCTAGAGACGCGGACGCTTCAAAAATGCTTGAAACGTTGGAAGCGCTTATTCAATGCGCGCTAGCTACTGCCGTCTGACGCTCAAAAAGTTAAAAAAAATTATAACTTTTCAGCGTCTACGCGCGTCTTAAAAGAAGCTTCTAAAAAGAAGTGTCTACAAAAACACCCGTCTAAAAAGACGCCGGAAAAATGCCCGTCTAAAAAGACGCTTGAACGGCGATCAGATGCGCCATATCATAGGAAAACAATGGTTTTACTAGCATTGCGTTTCTAGCGTTTCATCTCGGTGTGATCGCTCTGTAAGATTTTCCCAATTCAGTATCCATGGAGGAGCTCCAGACTACCCTATGACATCACAAATTTGAGTTTTAGCACTCCAGTTTTTGTATTTGGGAGAGAGTTCTTCATTTTTATTAATATTTATGGACTGTCTTAGACCATAGACCAAGTAAGATATGGTCAAGTCAGAGAGAGACCAAGACTGATGTTGAGTACTCACACTGGTACTCTTTGGTAACTGGGAATAGCTACCGACAGCTACTAGGTAAAACAAAAATGCTAACCTCTTCTCATTTTAATTGCACCTCATTGTGCCGAAAATTGTGACATAATTTTCCCAGGAGATCGTACCAGGTAGCAGACAGAATTTCATAGTATAAATGAGGCTTATAGAGAACCAATCTAAATGCTGATGGTGTCATTGTTTAATAGCCATTACACTGTGCAATCAGCATTTACTTCATCATGATAAGTCATAGTGTGTGCGTGTATATTTCCACTTTAAAAAAGAATAAAATCTGTCATTGAAATTCATCCTGAGGAATATTCTGAGGTGATTGAAGATTATGTCTCTTTAATGTGCTGTCTCATCAGTGTTTTCTAACTGCCTCTGTCTCCCTCAGCTGTTCATGAAGCGCTACTACAAGACCAAACACGGCACATATGTTCCCACTCTGAGGGAGTACTGGAAGCCCGGGTCGACACGGCGAGACTTAACGTCGGCTGGCAGCAAACGCAGATGATGACATGAACTTTCATTGCCAGGTTTGGTGTTGGGACGCCAGAAAAATGTCAGAGGACTTTAACTGCAGTTCAGCTGGGTTTTCTCCACCAGCTGCAATGGCAGGAAAGTTAAGATTTGAAATACACCAGCCACCGTGGCTGATGGTCGTATATTTTTATCCGTCTCTTGATTTATGATTTCAGTGTAGCTGAAACAGATTTTAACTTCGGCATCATGGAAAACAAGCCCTGAAACGGCACTGTCATACAAAGCAAACTTTATTTTAAATTGTTTATGTGCAGTTTGTTTTTAAATAAAGACCAGACTATATCTGGGTTATCTCTGTTACAAATAATTCACTTGTATACATATTTTAAACCTGCTATATGTAATATCCTCATTTAAGAAATAAAATTAATTGCAGTCATGTTTTGTATGAGAAACAAATTGTCACTTTATTATTTTTCATTACATTCACCTGCACTTACATTCACTCATGAGATCATAATGGTAACCTTGTTTTTGGCTTAATTATGTTTGTATTTACGCATTTACTACGTCTCTCACTGACTGACGACCACTGAAAATCTTCCCATTTACATATAAATGTGAGGTCATCTTATCACATGTGCTGAGAGGATGAAGTTAGTTGTCACAGCTATCAGAGAATATAAATCTTTATTCACAGAATATCACAAATAATCACCCGGGACACCTAAAAGAACCCAAAATCTTCAGTAATTGGTTACAAAATTTTACATGCCTCAGAGATTGGTGTATTATAGCTCTCACATTAAAGGAACAGTTCACTGAAAAATCAAAAATACGTATTTTTCCTTTTACCTGCAGTGCTGTTTATTAACTTAGATTGTTTTGGTGTGAGCTGCAGAGTGTTGGTAGAGATGTCTCTTTACAGAAATGATGACCTGGTTACTCACAGACCTTGTTGTGAGCAGTTCGACGTAGGAACTATTTCTTTCCACCAGACTACACCCTTAACCCTATCACTGCGCAGAAGGAAGAAGAGTGAATCTACTGCTAGCTCACCTAGCACGACTGAGCTTAGCTGAGGAGGACACCATTAATGTTGAGTAGATGCACACTTCCTTTTGCACAGTGATATGTTTGGTAGAAAGAAAATAGTTCCTACATGAAACTGCTCGCAACAAGGTCTGTGGATTATCTTGAGTAACCAGGTCATGATTTCTGGACAGTGACATCACACTTGAGTTTTTCACATGTACGTTTTTGGCGCCTTGAGCACCACAAGCTGAGTGCCATCTAGTTTCATTTTATTGGAGAGAAGGCAGACATCTCCAACACTCAGCAACTCACACCAAAACGATCAAGGTAAATAAGTGTATTTGATTTGGGGGTGAACGGTCCCTTTAAGGTTTCCAAATTTATTCTGGCACTTCAGAAGAGTAGTCAAAATATAATCAAAACATTAAGTGCTAATTTGTTCAGTTGCCACTGGAGCTTCAGAGTCGACAGCTCATCCCTCCCGTCACTGTGATGGTCTCTCCAGTGATGTACGAAGCCTCCTCTGAGCACAAGAAGGCAATCACTCCCCCGATTTCCTCTGGCTGTCCCACTCTAAAGGGAAAAAATGAATCAAGGAACATATGAAATATTATATTCTTTTGTGTATTATGCAGCATGTTAGTGACAACCTTCCATGTGAGCGTGAGCCGTACCTTTTAATGCAGAGCTGCTTTTTGAAATTGTCCATGATGTCCTCATTTTGCCATAACTGGGACAAAACAGTGGTGTGTTACAGAGACTACAGCATTCATCAAGTGTGAATAAACAAAGGAGACTTGACTCAAGGATTTAAGTGCGTGATGCAAAGAGGACTGTGTGTTTTAGTCTCCTCACCACAGAGCTGAAGCGGGTCTTGATGACTCCAGGGGCCACACAGTTGACTCTTATGTTACTGTGAGCCAGCTCAGGAGCCAGCACCCGCGTCAGACCCAGCAGTGCTGTCTTACTCACACTGTAAGGGCCCAGAGCCTGCAGGGACAAAGCGTCCATAACATAAACATACACGCTGGTTTATATGACTCAAACTCATCAAGAATTTTCTCAGTTTTTGGATTCTTCGTTTACAGTGGAGACATGCCAGAAAAGCAAAGTTTTCTTCCCAAATTCAACATAAACCAGAGCGAATAACTGCAATACAAATGGTCCTTTGGGGGGTGAAGTATTCCTTTTATATAAATATGTTTGAGATGAATGTTCTGACCTGCATTGGTTGGTATCCAGCGACAGATGACACAAATACTACATTCCCCCCTCTGAAAGGAAAGATACAGAGCAATAATTAAACATACAGTGGACAGTTTTATAGTCTTTGTTGTCGTTCGGATCAGTTTGTCACTCACCCCCTTTTTTCCATATGAGGCACCACCAACTTGGTCATTAGGAAGGCGGCTTTCACATTTATAGACAGGATCTAAAGAAAAAGATCCCATAAATTATCCTGTATTACAATAAATGAAAGGAGGAATGAGACGCAGAATCATTTCAACAAGTCTTCATGTTTTTATTTTATAAATGAGGCCTGGGGCTTCATCTATTGTTGTGTACCTTGTCCCAGACCTCCTCCGTGGAGTCCATGACGCTTCCAAAGAAAGGGTTGACTGCTGCGTTGGACACCAGGATATCAATGCCCCCGCACTGATCCAGAGTCTATACCAAGCACACGATGAGACTATTAATGAGGTTGAGCTGGATGAATCAGACAACCTCATAATTATGGATATGCAGCCATGTGGCTCAAACTTCTTTGATGCAGTTGTGTATGAATCATTTAACTGTGGTTGACAGAATTTAAAAATACTGACCAGTTGAACCAGTTTCTCTCTGTCTTCCCCGATGCCAACATTACAGGTGGTCCCAGTCACTTGGATGCTCTGGCTCTGCAGCAGCGCCACAGCCTTGTCCACGTTGGCCTGCCGCCGGCTGCTCACCACCACATGAGCTCCTCTCTTTCCCAGAGCCTGAGCTGCAGCTAGACCAATACTGAGGAAGAGAAGAAGAGTATCTAAGTGGATTTTTAGTCACCAAACATGAGTGTTTTGTGTCAAACTGTCACTCTTTCCAGCAGCTTTTTAGGTACCAAATGTGTTTTGTAGCGACCTGTCGCTGTTTTTCTTGTGGCTTTTTAGTTTCCAAACATGGGTGTTTTGTGGCAAACTGTCACTGTGTTTCCAGCAGTTATTTGGTATCAAATGTAGGGTGTTTTGTAGTGACCTGTCACTGTTTTTCCAGCATTTTTTTAGGGCACCAAACGTTGGTGTTTTGTAGCGACCTGTCGCTGTTTTTCAAGTGGCTTTCTAGGCACCAAACGGGTGTTTTGTAGCAAACCTTCACTGTGTTTCCCATGTAATATCAGGCATCAAACATGGGTGTTTTGTAGCGACCTGTCACTGTTTTTCCAGCATTTCTTAGGCACCAAACGCAGGTGTTTTGTAGCAAAATGTTTGGGTTTCCAGCAGCTTTTTAGGTACCAAATGTAGGTGTTGTGTAGTGACCTGTCGCTGTTTTCCCCATGGCTTTTTAGTCACCAAACATGGGTGTTTTGTGGCAAACTGTCACTGTGTTTCCAGCAGTTTTTTTAGGTACCAAATGTAGGTGTTTTGAAGCAGCCTGTTGTTGTGTTTCCAGCTACTTTTTTAGTCACCAAACATGGGTGTTGAAGCGACCTGTCAGTTTTTCCAGCATTTTTTTAGGCACCAAACATTGGTGTTTTATAGCAAACTGTTGCTGTTTTTCAAGTGGCTTTCTAGGCACCAAACATGGGTGTTTTGTAGCAAACCTTCGCTCTGTTTCCCATGTCATATTAGGTGTCAAACATGGGTGTTTTGTAGCGACCTGTCACTGTTTTTCCTGCATTTTTTAGGCACCAAACGCAGGTGTTTTGTAGCAAACTGTCTGTGTTTCCAGCAGCTTTTAAGGTACCAAATCTAGGTGTTTTGTAGCAGCCTGTTGTTGTGTTTCCAGCAGCTTTTTTAGGCATCAACCATGGGTGTTTTGAAGCAACCTCTCACTGTTTTTCCAGCATTTTTTAAGCACCAAACATTGGTGTTTTGTAGCAACCTTGGCAGGGCCCCCAAACCCACTATTTCATATGTGTCCCCCCTAAATTTTGAAACAAAACATCCGCCTTTGTGCTCCAAAGACAAGAATAATGCCACCACTGGTGTTGAAAGGCAAAGAGCCCCTGGATATGTACTGTCACAGAAACCTGCTGTTCTTGTTCATATATTTTTCAGGCATGTAAAATATTTTTAAAAGTACAGGTAAAACTTTTCAGCAAGGGATGGTATCTCCTTTTTAAATTTAAATACAGTTTGATGTACCACTTTGCCCGGGATTTCCCTGTCTTGACCTGAGGTGTTGCAGTCAGTGCAAAGGTGAGGACGCTTTCAATACCAGCTTCATACAATTTGCATAATTTAGTGTTTTTGTCTGTCTGTGTCAGTGCTTCATCAGAGCAGCAGATAACTATTGCAGAAGCCATTTTCTTACTTACTAATCTCTGTATTTTAGGGCAGCACAGGCATTCATCATGTAATTCTTACCCATCTGTGGAGGCAGTGACAATGGCTACCTTTCCAGCAAGGCTGCTTTGAGACATGCTCCTTTGTCCAGCGACAGGATTGGTCCTAAGGCACCTGAATACACTCCTCAACATCACCTGTGAGCAAAGAATATGAAGTCACGGATATATTTTATGAAAACACTGGGTAACTGGGGCAGAGGTCACCTGGACTCTGACAGCAGTGGTGCCCAAAGTGAACTTGAAGCCACTTTCTCTTAAGTCACTTCAACTAATAACTGACACATGGTGACAACAATAATAAATAGTTGATTGGTATACTTAAAGAGACAAAATCAAGACTATTTGGAGCATATTTAAGTTTGTACGCAGCTACATTGTATAAACAACTAATGCAAATGCGCAAATGTGATCAAACGCTTTATCTCACCCTGCAGTTCATGCGGTATTGAAGATAAGGTTCAACTAAAATCTAAAAAATCGTTTGAGGACTATCAAAGTCTGCTGCCTGGAGTTTAGACTACCTCTATGAACGTGTAGCTACAGCCAGTTTCCGGGTAA